ATACATAAACTAGTAATTAATATGATTCATAATTCTCAACTATTGCTTTATAAAACATACCGTATGTGCACACTATATAATAGGTTGTCACATCACATGAAATGTTCAGGAAAAATGTCTATTCTAGTCAGATATCGTCTGTCAACTGAAGTAGAAAACATATGATCTGAATATCTAAGAAATAAGTAGCACAGGGGTCGGCAACCTCTGGCACACGGCTCGCTAGGGTAAGCACCCTGGCGGGCCAGGCCAGTTTGTTTACCTGCCGCGTCGGCAGGTTCAGCCAATTGCGGCTCCCACTAGCCGCGGTTTGCCGTCCCAGGCCAATGGGGGCTGCAGGAAGCGGCGCGGGCAAGGGATGTGCTGGCCGCGGCTTCCCACTGCCCCCATTGCTCTGGGACAGCGAACCGCGGCCAGTGGGAGCCGCGATCGGCCGAACCTGCCGACGCGGCAGGTAAACAAACTGGCCCGGCCCGCCAGGGTAAGCACCCTGGCGAGCCGCTGCCAGAGGTTGCCGACCCCTGAAGTAGCATATCAGGTACCCACAAGATGTGAGCAATTTCTACCGCTGCAGGATATCTTGACATTAGGTACTTTACTACTTTTAATGACCAGCATCCCATGAACATGAAACAACCAAGATCACATTCAGTGATTGAAATATGACATTGTTTTTCGATAGTTGTTAATGTTTATTATTAATATTGGAGTAGAAGTTAGCACTTAAAATATTCTGAAGAACCAACCTTATTTTTGTGTTTAAATCACTGAAGGTGCGATGCAAACCCCTTTGGGCTAAGTGCCCTCATCAAAACATCTTATAGGTACATTAAAAATTGAATGAGCATAAACAACTCCAACAGAGCAGAGCTTGAGATGGTATTGCAGTGATCTTTGCCTTTCATAAATATCAACACTTGGGACAGTGGGCATGGAAATAAGAGCAACTAATTATTGTACTTTGCTTAAGGGCACGTATGGTGTTCACTGCAGGTATCTCTATTGCTGTTTTTTGCCTAATGTATTGCTTCTCAAAGACTTCCACTATAACGACTTGCTGATATACTCTAAAGCATTTCTAGTATACCAAACTGCTTTATATTCAGAAAGAAATACACTGTAACTTCTGAAAGATGTTGCTAAAAAGGAAACAGCAGTTGGGAAACTGTATATGGCATACAAGTGAATAGTATCAAATTACATCTAAGAGACAAATTAAATTGTAATGGTGATACTTATTGCAGAGACTTATTTTTTGATGAAAATATTTATTTTTTCTAAACAGCAGACAAAAAGAAGTTATATGTAATTAATAATATCTTGTTATGGCAAACAGTTTCAATCTTTGATTTTGCAGTATTATCCAAGCTATTAGCTTGATGTCTGCTTAGAAAACAATATTAATTCACAATTTGCATACATATATTTTTATACTGATGCTATTAAAAAACTGATTTGGGGGGTCTTGGGGACTTTGGTTGGTTGTGTGGTTTTCTTTTATTGGGTTGTTTTTGCAATTTCCATAAAATGAATTTCTCTAAATACGATAATGATTTGTAATTACTAAATACTTCAGTCTAGTGAATAGTTTTATACTGATGTTAAATGTTTCTTCTCTGATATATACACAAAATATGGGCCACGTTACTGGGTCTGGCTGAGCTGGGATCAGTACAGAACCTGGATGGAGGGAGGAAGAAAAGTAAGCCATTTTGCTAATGCCCTGATTCCCAGCATGATTTAGAAGAGCCTAATAGCGGCTCTAAATTATGCCAACAGAAATGGTCACTGAAGAACAAGCCCACTGGCTGGAGCACAGAGCATGGTTTCAGCCTGTCTCCTACGTTAGCTTTAGGCCACCATGGGATGCGACAGGGAAGCCCACAACTGCCACTCTGGGGCAGTATTAAGTCTCCTTTGCACTACTGGAGCAGTGCAAAGACAATTAAACTTAGGCTGAGAATCTGGGCCAATAACAATTTAAACAGCTTTCATCCCCTCACATTTTAGACCCTGAAAGATCCATCAAAACATAAGAGTGACCATACTGCGGCAGACCTAAGGTCCATTTAGCCCAGTATCCTGTCTTCCAACAATGGCCAATGCCAGGTGCCCAAAAGGAAATGAATAAAACACCCATTCCCAGCTTCTGGCAAACAGAGGGTAGGGACACCATCCCTGCCCAACCAGGCTAATAGCTATGGATGGATCTAGCCTCCATAAATTTATCTAGTTCTTTTTTTAACTCTGTTATAGATGTGGCCTTCACAACATCCTCTGGCAAAGAGTTCCACAGGTTGACTGTACATTGTGTGAAGAATTACTTCCTTTTGTTTGTTTTAAACCTGCTGCCTATTAATTTTATTTGGTGACCCCTAGTTTTTCTTTAATAAGGAGTAAATAACACTTCCTTATTTACTTTCTCCACACCAGTCATGATTTTATAGACCTCTATCATATCCCCCCCTAGTCGTCTCTTTTCCAAGCTGAAGAGTTTTATTAAACTCTCCTCATAATCTCCTCCGTCTCAAACACTTTATAAACTATAGTCTCAATCCTGCAAAAATGTCCCATCATGCTTAGTCTCATTGACTTCAGTCATCAGCAGATTAAGACAGGAATTGAAGAAGAATATCATTAACCTATCATTATGAAACTGCAGAGGGAAATTTCATGTAGGAATTACCCAAATTGGAATATGCCCAACAAATAAGGTTCATGGGCCCAAGGCATCATAGGAGCTTTAGTAGCTACAAATAGTCAAGACTTTGGGTTATATCTCATCAGGAAGACAGCACCTTTAGCGCTACGATGACCATTAATGCACTGCAGAGACACTGATTCAGAACTGATCCAGGATGGAAGAATGCCATATATCAAATCACCACCACTTCCAGTAGCAACCAGGGTTTTCTTCGAGGTCTCCTATCCAAGAACTGACCAAGCACATGCCTATTCAGTTTGTGATCAGATGTGATTACCGTTTGAGGTGCTATAATCATAAGCAGTGTGTCCAGTATCAGTGTAAGGAACTAAAATATCCCTAACTTTGATTCGCAGAATCCTTTTGTTGCTGCCTCACCAAGATACTTTTATTTTCACTGTTCTTATTTTTCAGAAAATCAATCCAAATACTCTGAGAAGTTAATAAATTAAAATATAGATTTTAATTGCTAACAGTTATTAAAATGAATTTTCCTCTTTATATTTATTTTAGGAATCAGATTTATTAGATATAGAAATAACATTTAAAAAAAAATCTTAAGATTTAGCAGTCATGTATTTTGACTATAGTTATAATTACTTTCTGAGGTAATGGCTAAACAATCCTGCTCTCGATTGCACTAGTACAAACCTGGACTAATTTCACTGACTTCATACAAGTTACCTAAGATTTACACCAGTTTAAGTGAAAGCAGAAGTGGCGCAATAAGTCTAACTGGATATTTTCCATATAAAAAGACTCAATTTTTAAGCTAATAAACCTTATGCTCATTTCTTGATTTAAAAGGTTGGTGTGACTGGTAAACTGTAGTTTCAATATTAGAAATAATGAGGTAGCACAAACTCAAGAAATGCAAACTTCCTGAGCAAAACCAACAAGCTCTCGAGATATTATTTTGCAAAGCTTTTTGATTATTAACTATTTCCTCACTGAATGATTACAGTTTTTGTCATTTGGATTCACAGGTACAAAAGAATGCTGATTAAAATAAGAACTCTTTAGAGATAGGAAACAATTTTCCATGTAGTTTTCAGCCAGTGCCCCTTTAACAATGACTTTCAGAAGTTGACATAAATATTATTGTAAAAATATAACATAAAAAAGCAGTAGCAATGTTCTGTAAACAGCATTAGCTCGTCAGCAAATAGCTTTTGTATTGGAACGATCAGACAACATATGTAGCTTTAAATTCAATCCATCTTCCTTGGATACAGCCTGACCTGTTTTTACTCATTCTGCAGTGTGAAAACACAGTAACACAGAGATGTGAGCGAGTATGGATGACTATGACCAATCATGGAAACTATTACTTAAGTGAAAAGTCCTTATTCACACAAGCAAGGATTCCAATGGTCCTACTTGCATGAATGGCTTTAGTGGGACTACGAACATGAATAAGGTTTTACAAGATTAGACTATGTTTGTACAATGTCATATATACCAATGCCCCTATCGACAAACATTTATTAATGTAACTTTATGGAGAAGAATAGTGTCACTGAACTCAGTAAGAATACTCACATAAAATTATTCATATGTGTAAGTAAGTATTGCAGGATGTGGCCCAAGCTTTCTAAGTCAAGGTACAATTTCTTTGTATGTGATAGAGTACAAGCCGTAGGTTCTAAGTCTGCTGCATCTTTGACCCCGCATAAAGTCTTTGTATTTCCTGGGTGCTGTTAACATAAAAATTGCAACAGGACTAGAAAGAATGTTCTCTTGCTTATTGTGCTGAAATTCTCTGGTACACTGAAATGCAGTGTTATTCAGAGGGATTTCAGAAACAGAGGTTTGGAATATTTTTCCATAAATGTAAATTTATTCTATTAACACTAGATCTCTTTACACAGATGTAGGGCCCTAATGGCGCAGGCCTTACAAAGAACCAAAAATGTTTTTTGAGTTTCAGTGGACTAGACTGAGCACAATTAACAACAGTTGCACATGTGAGTAAATGTAGTAGGCAGTTGATACTTAAACTTGGGAATATTATGTAAATATTATAAAGGCAGAGATGCCTAGAAAGAAACCATAATCTAGCTACTTTGATTTCTATGATTCAGTACAATGTGACTACAAAATACAATTTAAATGAACAACATCTAATTTAATTAAGTTAAACACCACATAAGAAAAAAATCTGCAAGACTCAGTCATCCCTTTTTGCTAGTAAGTGTAAGTAGCCATTTTGATCCCATTAACACAGCTTTGAGATGGATGATGTTCACCTGAAACAGTAAGGCTGAAATAACAAACAAAACGTGAACTTCCTTACTTTGTTTCAGTTTTGGTGTATGCAAAGCGTGAACACAAAAATACTTCATTTTCTTCCACTTCTGGTTTTCTATTAAAAAGAAAATTAAAGACATTTAATTTTCCCTCCAAATATATTAAATGATCAGAAATATACAATCATGGATGTTTTTATGTGAAAAAATCGCTTGCTAAACAGTTAGCTGGGGACAAACCTAGCTAAACCAGAAACCACCTATTTTAACAAATATAGGCCCTGAGCCTGCAGATGTTTGCAAGATTTGGGCCAAAGTATATATGGTTTGTGTTCTTCTGCTCCATTAATGGTAATGGAAGTCTACAGGGTTCTCCATCCTGATGTTACCAAAATATATGTGGCTCCTCTTTTGTGTACTATTTCAGAGAAAGTCAACACAGAGACACTCATGCAGCTATATCAAAAAGATGTTCTTTTTCTTAAAATTTATGTTAGGATCCTAGCAATTCATCTGCCTCCATAAAATGTTTACAGTTTCAATTTCTATGGGGAGCCCAGCAGGCTTCAAATATTGAAGGGCAGTTCTTATTGTCAAAACTGTCAGTTTTACGATAGCTTCATTTTTACGACAGTTTCACAAAGAATATATATATTCCAGTTGCCAATAAATAAGTGTACTATAAAAAAAAGCCAAACACCAACGAATGAGAATTTGCTGTGGGATCTTGCCACTTTAAATTATACAGTTAGCTTTCATTAACTCTGTTTAATACTGCTGCATTCCTTAAAAACAAAAATACAAATTAAACCATAAAAATGCAAAATAATGTTGTTGATAACCTTCACACCAGTAAACAGCTTTTTCATATCATGAGTTTAAGAAGACTTCAGCTTCTTTCAACCCAGATATGGTTCAAATGGTCTTGTAAAAGGAGGTTCTTTAAATTCACAATTTCAAAACTCCTTTCCTCTTTAGGCCTCCCTCCTTCCAGATGCAAAACTCTACCCTAACACAAGATGAACAACATTGCCTAGTGAACCAGTTATAGTGCTTTAGAACCACCATACGCAGATTCTGGTTCAATTTCTGGTCTCTCACTCCGCAGGCTAACAGGGGGTAAGAGCTCTGCTGAGACTGCATGTTTTTAGGGGAGAGTCTACTTCACCTCTTTGACCTCTCTGGCTGGTTAAATAAATGATGCTGGTGGGCTGTCTGGTGTCACTGACAGGAAGATGGTGGCTGGGAAACAATCTAGGGAATCCTCACAAGTTCATTAAGCTCTGGACAACTCTTGTGAGACATTAAATATACTGTTCTAAGTTTCAGGCTTTTCACCTTCACCTGCCTATACATAAATAAAAAAGCCAAATTAGCCTCTCCCGGATCTGGATAACATTCCTTTGTACAATCCCCCATGCCACTCTATTGCCAGCATAGACCCTGATCCAGAAAAGCACTTAAACACATGTATAACTGTAAGCACATGAATAGTCCTGTTGAAATCAATGGGAAAATTCACATTCTTAAATTTACATGTGCATAAAAGCTTTGCTGGATCCAGGCCCTAATGAGCTTGATGGCTCTGAGGGGTTGTTACTCCAATTAGAAATTCTGGCCAACACTTCTATAGCTCCAACTCTTTCCTAGGAAAATATTTGATATAGCTACATCTCATTTGTCCTCAAAAATATGAAAAGTATTTCTTAAAAAGGTGTGTCAAAACAGTGATTTAATGAGCTGACATACTGGAAATCACCTAAAATTAATAATTAACTGTTTACCAGAATCATGTTAAATTTCCAGTGGATACTATTCAAATTAAAATTGTCAGAAAAACCTGAAAAAGAACATAGTGTATAAGCCTATATATAAACATACATATACATACACAAGTGTCTATAAAGCACCAACACTTGTTTTACATCTGCCTTTACTTTGAAATGGGGAAAGCCCGTGTTACACCTCTTTGAAAAAATTAAACAAATCTTCCCCCACACCTCAGCCTCTTCCAAAACCAAAGTGCAGCATGACATTTGCTGCATGCACTTTCGATATACGCCTTACAAGCGCGTGGTAAATGCCTTCTTTTTAGAGATGATGCAAATTACAGGTATGCAGATGGAAATGCTAAAATGTGTTCTAGTTTCACTCTCAAAAGTACTCTTGAGACTGCAACCACATGATTCAAAACTATTTGTACTCCTTACTTCTGACACTCAAACACATTCTCTTACTCTGTTTGCACAAAGACAGCATAAAGAAATGAAAAATATGCTTTTCCCATAAGTTTTAAAAGAAAACATATTTTAATCATTTGTTAGATAACAAGCATCTATAACTTAAAAGCTAAAACAGCTGACCAGAACTTGTGTGTTCTTTCTTTTGTACTTTCCTGTTTGAGCTATACTTTCAGTATCATACCAAAAACAAAAAAACAAAAACAGATTAAAAAAAATTTTTTCAAAAAATAAGAGACTCCTACTTCATAACATAAGGTTTTCATTAGATTTTAAGCAAATGTTAAAAACAAAATAGATTCAATTTAAAAATATGATCTTAGCATTTACTTTTGTACCCTTTTCACAAAGGGTTTAAATATATAGATCACTCATATGTACAAATTCTGAAGTTTTAGAAATTACACTCAAAATAATAATATTTATCAGATACTACATGATGTATATGTTCAAAGCACTACAAACTGTAATTAATCTACACAACATTCCTGTGAAGTAGGCAGGTGAGTATTATTACAGATAGGATATTTAAAGATTCAGTACTAGGCACAGGAAGGTGAAGTGGCTTGCCCTTACAGTGAGCCAATGGCACAACCAGTATTAGAACCCATGAGTTCCTCGGTTCCTCAAATTCTATCTTGATTGCACTATACCACATTGCCTTGGGCCTATCTGAAAAAGGACATTACAAAAATGATCTGTGGGTGGTGACCATCTGCAGTTATGTGACTCTGCACTTCAGGATTGAATGCAAAATCAGCACAGTATTTTATTGAATTATTGATTATCAGCTAAAACGCACTATGCTTTGTATACTTAAGAAACTAATCTCAGTCAGAATTTACCACGGAACATTTGATATGCTGGAAAGCATGAACCAGTAAATGTAAAGACGTGGATAGGCAGAAATTCAGCATGAAAGGAAAGCATAACTTCTCTTGTCTTTTAGAGAACCTCTACAACAAATAATTATGTACTTATTTACCATATGACAGGTATCAGTGCTTTGTATGAGATATTATGAAGTTACACAGTTGCCTAATGGAATGCATTCCTCCAACAATAAAGCACAACATGTCAAAGAGATATCATGAAAAATAGGAGATTTGAGCTTATAATTTAGCTGAGCCTCACAACCACATGATGAGGAAAAGTTCACAACGTTATCAGGGTTGCAGATAAGAGGGTTTACCTACCAGGATGTGTGTTTTAAAAATACACAAGGAAGAGGAAGCTGGTCATTGGCAAGGAAGGAGATGAACCAGGCCCACAGAACCCAAAGCTAGTCCTGTCTCTGTTCTATAAACTAGCCATGTCTATCACTAGTACAGTACTTCTCAAAGTTGGGCCACTGCTTGTTCAGGGAAAGCCCCTGGCGGTCCGGGCCAGTCTGTTTACCTGCCGCGTCCACAGGTTCGGCCGATCGCAGCTCCCACTGGCCGCGGTTCGCCGCTCCAGGCCAGCACATCCCTCGGCCCACGCCGCTTCCCGCAGCCCCCATTGGCCTGGGATGGTGAACAGCGGCCAGTGGGAGCCGCAATCGGCCGAACCTGCGGATGCAGCAGGTAAACAAACCGTCCCAGCCCACCAAGGGCTTTCCCTGAACAAGCGGTGGCCCGACTTTGAGAAGCACTGCACTAGTATATTAGTTATTGTGCTCCACATGGTAATATTTCATAGCAAATCATTTAATTGTGGCTTGCAATGTATGAAATTAAATATGATAGTCACTTTTGAAAATGTTACCTAAGTGACTAGGAGCCTACAACCAATTTTCAAAAGTGATTTAGGTACTTGGGATCCTAAATCACATTGACTTTCAGTATTATTCATCTCTGTAAGAAGGGTTAAACAGTTATGGTAAAAAGTGTATTGCATGTAATATTATATGTTTCATCAATACTGTAAATATATTTTATCTGTTTTCAATTTTTTTTAAATATACTCATGTCAAGCACCTCCCTTGGATTTTTTTAAACATAGTAAACCTCACATCTTATCGACAAGATACCAGAAGTGAAAATTTAGTTGGTATATGAATTATTTAAAATATTAATTATGAACTAAATAAATAAATTTAACCACTTGGCTATTTACATTATTTGAGTGTGCTCGACTTGGTTTTATCAAATTATTTGAAGATAGTTCCTTCTGCTACTGCTTACATCATCTGCAGAGTTTGCGATACATCTATGTGCCAAAACCATCTTAAACCTATCCATGGTTGATGATAAATAAAATACTACCTGTAAATCTGCAGACACCACACTGTGTGGATATTTTCCTAAGCATGTAATTAATTATCAAAAGTATGAAACACTGAACCCTAAAAAAGAAAAAGAAAATAGCACATTCACAAACTGGACTTTTAAAAACACTTTAAAAACACTGTATTAATTTCCTTTTTTCATATTTGGCCTTGCTATCTCACATTATGACACATTGTCACTGAGAAGAATCAGATCAGATAGATTTTCCTACATTAGTTATGGCATGGCATAATGTCCTTGATTAATCACATCAAGGCAAAATTTTACATTATCAAAAACCCCATTTTTTTCTTAGAACCACAAGATGTGTGTGCATTTTGTATATTTACATGACATAGCATGCAAGATTAAGTGTTGGAGGATTATTATTTTTGTCTCATTTCTGAGGAAGGTGTGTTTTAAAACAGCTAAACTATTCCACAAAATTAGATTTAAAATATATCAGCAGAAAATTATTCAATCTATAAAGAAGTTAATATAACAAATATTAGTTGTGCTGGTCTATTTCTAATATTGACTTTTAAGGTCTTGATAATTTCATAATGTACTACACAAATGTCTCTGTTAACATTCCTTTTTCCATTTCATGTAATTTCTAAAATCTTT